CCGTAAACAATTAAATGCTGCTGGATTAGGAACAGCCGCAACAAATGAAATAAGAAGTAAAATAATTCCAATCATGACTAATACATTCCAGTTTTTTGTTTATTTTTTTTATTATTTGTTATATATTTCAAATTTTTATTAAAATGTTGTATTAAAAAAGATTAAAATTTTTGTTATGAGAGTCTTATAATAAAATACTCCCTTTACTAATAAAGTCATCATTGATTCATTAATTTTTAATACCTCACTCTTTAAAGAAAATAAAATAATAACAAGAGAGAATGTATGATGTATTTAGTATTAATTTAATTAATATAACTAAAAGACACATTACATTAATTTAATATCTTCTTTCTTTTTATTTCTTAATATTATTTTATATTATTTTTTGTATTTTATTATGATCTTATTTTGTATTTAATTAATGAAATGAATATAGTCATTTATTTTTATGTTGGTTTGTTTATTTATTTGATGTTGTTTTATTAAAAAGTATGTATTTATCAATTAGATTTTTTATTTATTCTATTTCATATTTGTGAATTAAATCATTTTGTTGTTTATGAAGTGTTAATTGATGAAAATATGAAATGATAATACTTTATCTATTTTCATTGTTTAATCTTGCTTCAGATTCTAAATCATTGTTTATTGATATATTTTTTTGATTATACTTGGTGAAAATTTAAAAGATATATTAATTGACTGAAAATTAATATTTAAATCTACTGTTTTATAACGTTTTTCATGTGATTAGTTAATACTTCTCATTATTTTCTTCATGTTTAATGTTTTGCACGAAAATGAGCAAAGAAAAATGCATCTAAATAATTTACAAAAAAAGAAAAATGACGCATAATATTTAGAATCATTAGAATTTTCCATTTATTATATTTCGCTCATAAAATAAATAAAAAATATGATAAATATAGAATATGTAAATATTTATGTTTATATTTTATAATCATTTATATTCATTTTGTATGAAATATTAATGAAATAAATTATTTGATGAATCATATTTATTTTTATTATTTTATTCTTTTCTTTATATGTTATTTATCTATCGTATTTTTATATATTTATTTTTATATTTATTTCTCTGATTATATTATTTATATCATTGTATTCTTCTTATTATCTCTATATTATTATATTATTCTTATTTTATTATTTTTATGTTTATATTATTTAGATTTTCTTATTGTTATTCTTTTCTATTTAGTTGTATTTGTTTATTTGAATATTCATCTTTATCATCTTTTATATTATTATCATTTATATCTATTTTCATTTTATATTTATTCTCTTTTGTTTTATATTAATATTAATTTTATCTTTTATATTTTGATTTTATTATTATATCATTGATTATCATTTCTCGTTTTATTTATCATTTATTCTTATTATTCTTTTGTTTTATATTCTATCTATGTTATATATTCATATCATTTTCATTTATATTTTATCACTTATTATATGTTATAATAACATAACACATATGATTGATTATATAATAAACATCATGATGAAATTATACATATAAATAATAAACATAAAAAAGAGTAAAATATTTTTCATTAATAAAATAATATTAATCATTTTACAACATTAAATTAGACACTTTTATTTCATATTTCTAATTTTTACAATAAAAATACACCATTTTTTATTTCTTCTTTTCTTCTTTTATCATCTCTTTTCTTTTATTACTTTTTATATTCTTTATTATACTTTCTTTTTATTCTTTTTTATCCTTTATTCTACTTTTTACTTTATTTTTATTCTTTTTTATTTTTCTTTCTCTTCTTTTTCAATTGTTTGCTTTTTTCGTTGACTAGAGTTAGAATGAATTACTATATCAACAACACATCAATAAACTATTATTTATTGAGTCTATGAATTAATAGATATTACTTAATAAAAGAAACATTCGATAATAAATCAATTGAATAATGAATAAATAAGAGTCCTAATGAACAAGACAATAAAGCATAATAGAATAATAAATCATATTCAATAATCCATTCAAATATCAAAAATATCAAAGATTCTTCTCATTCAAAAAGTACTAACTGTGATGAAACTTCTTCTCAAATTAATCAACAACATATAACGTCATAATTTGAATAATCATTTTGCAACAAACAATTTTGAGAAGAAAGAGTCATGACAATGTTTGATGATGTTAGGATTATTGTATTAATGATAAATAACTATTTATTTGCTAATCTTAATGAAACAAACATAACTTGGTCAAGATGTGTTGTTTCATTCAAAAGACTAAACAAAGACCAACAGTCAATATAAAAGGGATTATCTAAATGAACATCTTCTATTAATATACCACCAAAAAACAGAAGTGTCAAATAACCACGAAGAAAGAAGTTTCAAGAAAAAGATAATGAATGAGAAGTTCATAAGAGTATAATTGTTCTGAATTGATGATTTAATAAGAAATAATATTTATTTCATTACTATTGCAATGATTCAAACACGAAGATAATACAACATTCAGAAAATCAAAACATAAAGGTTAGTATAATCATGTTTAATTAAAAGGATATAATGATAAAATAAATAATAATAAAAATGAAGATGAATAAACAAGAAACAAGAAGATCAGTATGAATAAGAAAAAGAATGAGATGCTGAAAAATAAAGAAAACGACAAAATAAAAAAGATAACAATGAAAATAAGTAAAAATGAGAAAACCAAAGAAATAAAGAAGAACAATTGAAATGATTAAGCATCATCAACAAGTGACATAACTAAGTTAAGGAATTTAGCAAAAACAGGTCTATTAAAATCACCTTGTGCTTGTTTAAATCCATGTTGATAAATCGTTCTAATTTGTCCAAGATAAGCAGCACAACCAATAAATTGAGGAAGTTGAATCTTTTTAGAGAACAAACCTTTTCCACATAATTTTGTAATAACTTGACATGATTTAGTATTAAGATCAAATCCAAGGTCAGGAAGTGCAGTTTGAATCTCTTTTAAATCAAGATTTCCACTTTTATCAACATCATATTTTCTAAAAACTGATGTAGTTAATTCAACAAATTTCATCATTGCAAGATACTCATAAAATGAAATAGACCCTGAAAAATCAACATCAAATATTCTCATTAAATGTCTACATGTTTCATCATCTAATTTAACTCCATTTGGCCATCTTGCACTCCTTAATTCAGTAAGTTCAAGTGTACCAGATTTGTCTTTATCGACTTTAATAAACCAATTTTGTAAATTTCTAAATTCTGTACCTGAAATTGAACATGCTAATGGAAACCACCATTCTTTCTTAATATTTTCATCAGCTTGATATGTTGCTGTAATATTTTGTACTATCCATGCATCTGCAGCTTGTTGTATTGCAAATAATGACATACCCACTTAAATTTCTTAGTGAAATTCTTTATATTATGAATTTATCCCTATTGTATCTCTTGGCTCTTTTAGTGTCTCTGCATTGTGTTTTTGGTGGTTTTGTTTTTAGACCTACAACAAAATGAATGTCAATTAACTGAGAATGTGTTGATGAGGAAAGACAATACATAATTGCTGTTCATCAGATGGATAATGAAATAATGAAAAAATAAAAATGACGTTTATTTTGACTCACAAAATAATAAAAGAATGAATTAAAAGATTTGAAAAATACAAACAATGGAATTACTCTTAGCAAAGTATGGAAAAGAAATAGCGAAGGAAACAATAGAAGATGTGTTTCAACGATGCAATGGAAATATCGACTTTTGTCAACAACAAATTAGTGAGATGTTAAGCAACAAAATAGGAGAAAGAATAAAAGTGCAAGAAGAAAAGAAAGAAAAAATTGTGTCATACCATACAATCCAACAAAGTCCAATTAACACACAACCCATGGCTAATTTGAACAAATTTTCAACGAGTCATTATACTATTACCCCACAATCACCCCAATCCAAAGTACCAATTGCTCCAAAAACACAACCAATTCCTTCATCTTTATTACCTAAATTTTCTAATACCCCACCTCAAGAAATTAATCCACCAATACCAACAATACCAACAAATACAACAATTCTACCAAAACCAATAATACCAACAAGCACTCCAATTCTTCAAAAACCAATAATACCAACAAATCCTCCAACTCAAGAAATTAATCCACCAATACCAACAATACCAACAAGCACTCCAATTCTACCAAAAACAACAGTAAACCCAATCTATTCAATACCAATATTTCCTATTTACCCAACACCAACAATAAATAATATAAAAAGTCTAATAAAAGAAGAAATAAGATATTTACCAGAACAACCTATTATCATACCTAAAGCAAAAACAGAAATAACACCGGAAAAGACAAATGAAATGACAACAAAAAGAGCACAACCTATTCTTCAAACAAGTGACAATAAAAATGAAGAAATAAAAGACAGTAATAATGTTATGGCAGTAAATTTAACAGGAACAAAAAGGTTATTGACAGACATAACATCAACTCGAAATGAAGAAGAAAAAGAAAAGGATATTGAAAAATTAAAAGAAGAAAATAAAACAATGAAAACAATGATACAAGAACAACAAAGAGAAATTAATCAATTAAAAGAAAGAATTGAACAATCCAATCAATTAATACGTCAAATACTTCAAATATTAACTAAATAGTTTTTATTTAATGATTAATGGGTTGCATAATCAACACAACCATCATCAACACTACAATCATTTTCATCATCACTTACACTAAATGAGTCAAGAAAAAGATTTTGTGTATTAATTCCAAAAAACATATCAATTGCACCAAAATCAATATTATTTAATGCTTCATGTAAATAACAATGAAGATTTTTTCCACCATTTTCAAGAAGATCAAACATTCTTTTCTCTTTAATTTGTTTTTTCCATTTAAAATGACTTAATGGGATATAATTTCTAGTTTCTTCAATAATAATACCATACCGATTAATACAATGTTCTAATTCAAATTCAAATATTGAATTAGAAAGAAATTGATTTTCTTTAAATAGAAATGTATAGTGAATATTAATATAAATTTCTTCTTTTCCTTCATTTCGTTTGATTTCTTTAATATGTTTTTCAATGTCAATTAATGATTGAAGTATATCAATTTCTTCTTTAGTCACTTCTAAATTTCCCATTAATCCAACTTCATTAAATACTTCAATCCAAAAATTAGAAATTCCACATTCTTGTATTCCATCATTTGTTCGATGTTTTGTTCCATTAATAATTGCTCTTCGAATTTTAAGTATTTCTTGAATGTCTTTTTCACTTTCTTGCTCAAGTTTTAAACATTCAAGTTGATATTCAATTTCTTTTTCTCCAATTTCTTTATCAATTTTTTTTAATTCTTCTAAGTTCTCATTAACTTCACCACCAACTATATCAATATATTCATCAATGTTTTTACTTAAAATGACTTTATTAATTTTATCTATGGAATGAATTGACATTTTTCTTCTTTTATTATTTATTTTTTTGGAGTTTTTTTATTTTTCTTATAATTTCTTATAATTTCTTATAATTTCTTATAATTGTTGTGGTGTGTCATCTTTAATAAGAATTGACTCTTTATTCTTTCTCTTTAATACAGAAATACCATAACACACTATTGAAGCACCCATAAAATATCTACAGACACATTTTGTTTTAGCTTTATTAAGGACATTCATTAAATATTGTTGTTCTGATGAATTTGATTTTATCCAATTTAATATTTCAATTGTGATATTATCTAAATCATTGTCTGGAACACTCCATAAATTTCCACACACAAGAGGAGAGCCTGCTTCAAGATAATCAATTACTAACCCAGATGGCTCAAATTCACCTTGTTGGTGAAGTTCAGCAGAGTTACATCCCATTAGAAGTGCAATTCCACACTTCTTTAATGTTTGAATTTTTTTTCCATGAATAAATTGTTCTCCACTTCCATGACCACAATATAACATTATATCATTTTCATATAATCCTTTTAAAATATCTTCCTCTTTTGGGATTTGATTAAAAACTCCATTCCATTTCAATTCTTTAATTATTGGTAATATTTTATTTTGTGTTTTAGTTAAATCATGTGTTGGATTAAGAATATAATATCCTCTTTTTCCATTAAATAAAATTCCTGGAATTGTGTCATTGATATCTTGTATTTTTGTACTTAGAAATGGTTCGATTGCTGGGATTCTTGTAATCATGATATTATCAAATGTAGGCATTGATTCCCATGGAAGACAATGTAATTGTTTATCAAGAATTAATAAAATACTTTTATTTTCTATTTCAATTGTTTCTTCTAATTTAACATTTTTAATTTGATTAATTAACATTTCCATGACTAATGGTTTAATTTCATTTCCTATTACATAATTAAGACATTCTACAATTTCTTCATGATTTAATCTATTAATTTGACTAATAAGTAAATACAAAATATCAATTTCTATAATTTCTTTATTTGTTATATTTTTTATTATTGAATATAAGAGATTATCATAATATTTTGTTCTATGATAATTTCTTGGATAAAATATAATTCTTAACCATCCTAATACTTTCTTTTCTAATGAATAACAAATGTCTTTAATTCTATTATCAATATCAAATACTTTTCTCCAATGTTGTCTTTTCTCATTTTCTGTCATTTCTTTTCCTTTTATTTCACTAAAAATATTTTGAATTTCTTTTTTGATTATTTCTATTCTTTCTATTTCTTTTTCAATTGCATTTTCTTTTCCTTTCTTTATTATTCTTCTTCCATTAATTCCATTATATGTTTTGTTTATATTACTAATAACAATAGCTTTTTCTATTTCATCTATTGTCAAACAAATAATTGTCCATTCTTTTGGTAAATGTTTATCAATATCTTTAATTGTTGTATTTTCTTCTATTCTTATTCCATATTTTGTACTTTCTCTTTGTCTATATGTAATTCCAATAGACATTGCATGGTAATAACATTTCTTATTATTTAAAACATTACACCTAAGAATATTATGCATAATACAATGAATAAGTGTTGGTTCACAATACTTTTCAGCAATTGAAAGTGCTTCTTCAAATGTTTTAAGTCCTTCTTTCTTTTCTTCATTTTCTAGTTGATTAATACCAATTTGATTTAAAATACATGCTTTTGTTATTGGTGAATTAAATGGTGATTCTAATAATGTTTTATATTCTTGAATACTATTTGTATTATTTCTTGTATTAATCTTATTTAGTTTAATTATTTTATACAATATTCGATTTTTGATTTCTTGATATACTTCTGACATATTTCTTGGTTGTTTATTTCCTTTTTCTACTTCTTTTTCTATGCTTGTTCTTTGAATTTTTCCTTTTAAAGATTGTCTAACTAAATACTCTCTTTGAGTTGAATCTCTTAGTATTAAAGGAAATGGTTCAATGAGATTTTCTTGAAGTAATTGGTCTATTATTTCTTTTGCTACTTGATAATATTCCATTGATGTATTATAATGTTTTGTTTTTCTATATAAATCTCCTAGTTCCATGAATGTCATTATCATATTTCTTTTAACTGAAACGTATTTTTTAATTTTACTTGAAATATTATCTATTTCTTTAAACTCTTTTTTGGCTTCTTCATAATTTCTCTTTTTCATTTCTAATTCTCCTTTGTGTGTTTTTATTTCTATAATTCGTAGCAAACTTCCTGTTTCAATTCCTATTTTTTCGGCTTCTTCATAACACATCATTGCTTCTTTATATTTATTTTTTATTTCAAACATCCATCCATAGTTTAAATATGATTCAATTGTATTTCCAATAAATGAATATATTGTATAAAAGAATATTCCTTTCTTTGTTTTAATTTCTTTATTTCTTACTTCCGTTATGCTTTTCATTAAACAAAGTGTTTTTTTCCTATATTCAATTCCTTTATTATATTCTCCTATTTTACAATAATATAAACTAATGACATCTTTCAGTTTTGTTTCTATTACAATTCTTTCCCATTCTGTACTTCTTTTCTTAAAACTCTCATTTTCAACTAGTATATTTATTTCATTAATTATATTATTAATATTTCCATCTTCTTGATGAATCCTTTCAATACCAATTCTTATTTTCATAATTAAATACATAATATAATTCTTCTTTACTTCTTCTTCTTCTATATTCATTCCTTTATAAATCTTTTCAATTCTTTCATTTATTATTTCCCCACTTTTTATATATCCCATTGAAATATAACATTCTATAACTTTTAAATAACAACTGATTCTTTCTTCATTTGTTATTGAAATCTTTGTTATTATTTCTTTGATGTTTTCAACACACCTTAATTGATTTGTTTGATCTCCATACATTTCAAATAATGTTGTTACAATAATTATCAATGGTAATATTTCCATTTTGTGTTTATTAATTTCTTCTTCACTGCATTTTTGATTAATTGTGCTTAAATATTTAAGTGTTTTCATTAATTCAATAATGTCTTCACTATTTTTGCTTTCCTTATTATAAAGACTTATCACATATTTAAAATAATAACACTTTGCTAATGTAATAAGAATATTAATTGCTTGTGTTTTATTAAACATTTGTTCTTCTTCCTTCTTCTTAATTTCTTCAATAATATTTTCTATTCTTTCTTTTTTGTTTATATCATTTTCAATAATTATTTCATAAACTTGAAATCTAATTACTTCAAATGGTAGTATATGTTTTTCTTTATAATATTTTTGCATTTCTTGACTTATTCTTTTTATTACTTTCTTTTTATTTTCTGTTATATTATTTATTATTCTTGGTTCAAATGTAATTCCAATATCCAGTAGTTCTATAATAGTTTTTCTTGCTATTTTACTTCCACTTCTTTCTAAACTACTTAAAATCTCTTCTACACAATATTCTGCTTCTACCGTTCTATTCATTATGTCATCTATTTTTTTCATTCTCTTCCATTTTTCTATTATTTCTTTATCTTCCAATTCCTTAATTCCTTCTATTAAATTACCAATTCCTTCTTCTTCTCTTCCAATTGCTTTTCTTGATAACATTACTATTTTTTCTGCTTCTGAAAGATGTTTATCTTCAAACTCTTTAAATGTTGTTTTCTTGAGTGAAAAGAATGTATTAAGAACAATAATTGCCTCAGAGTATTTTTTTTCTTGATATAATTTATATCCAGTTTTATAAAAGATATTAAAAATTTCTGTTCCTGTAATATTAAGTATTCCTGAATAGCATCTATAAATTCTTGTTATTTCAAGAAGTGATACTCTTTGATATATTGCACTTTCTGTTATTCTTATTAATATTTTTCCAATATATTTAGGTACTTCAAATTTTTCTATTATTTGTGCAATAAAATATATTTCTTTTGGTGTTTCTCTTGGTATAATTTTATTAAACTTAATAAGATATTCTTCAATTATATCACATATTAACCTCATCATTTCAATAACTTTCTCATTCACTCTTTTATTATTATTTACTATTTTATCTTCCTTTAAACATAAACTTATTTCATTAAGTAATTTTTGAATGTCTGTTAATTCAATTTCAAAATTATATACTTTCCATAGACTGTTTGGATTTGTTGTATCTCTTGGAAATTCACTTAAAATTGAATTACTTTGTTCAAGATATTTCATTGTTTCTTCTTCTTTCTTTCTTTTCATACTTTCTATTACTTCAAGAAGATTATAATGAACATAAAGTAGTGCTTCATTGCTATTTCTTGGTGTGGTGTATCTCTGAACAAGTTCATAATATTCGTTCTTTGTACCTTTAATTCTATTTAAACAACAATAAATAAATGAAATGGCAATTTCATCCTCAACTTTCATTTTTGCCATTTCTTGTCTGATGAAATTCAGCACTTCTCTTCCTTGTTCTTTTTCATAAGAAATCATTTTAAATGAATAATTAAGTGTGTTGTTGTGTTGTACCATAATCAACATGTCAATTAAGAGAATCCATATGTTATTTTCATGGATGTTATGAGTGATGGTATAATTGAATATTTTCCTAACAAGACTGCCAACCAGTCGCTGGTAATAATCCTCCTCCATTCGCTCAAACTATGTTTTTGAGATTATCAATTCATTTGTGTTATTTAATACAAAAACTAACTCAAAAAAACAATAAATAAAGGGAAGGATGGAAGATACAAGAACAATGCTTTATGAAATTTATAAACAAGAATATATTGAATCAATACAAAGACTTATTAAGAGAAAAGAAAAAGAAGAAGAAGAAACAAAAGAACTAATGAAAAAAGAACAAAAAGAAAGAGAAGAAGAAATAGAAAAGAAGGAATATACGTGTGATATATGTTATTCAGATATACAAATTAAAGATATGTATATATTTGATTGTGGACATAAATTTTGTTTAGATGTTTGTTTTAATATAAAAAGAAATAAAGAAATAAAGAAAAGAAGAAATAAATAAATAGTGTTGTTATGAACATATTCATGAAAAAATCTTTAGTGGGATTGTCAAAGTAAGATGTCCAAAGTCTATGTGTTGTCATGACATAACATTTGAAGAAATCTACCAAATTATAAGAAGACATCAACCAATAGACCAAGAACTAATAGAACGATATGAACGATTTAGTGTTCAAGAATATTTAAAAAAAGAAAACAATTGTAGGTATTGTCCACGATGTGGTACAGGTGTAATAGGAGATCCAAATACACCTGAAATTGAATGTCAAAATGAAGAATGCAAAAAGAAGAAAATCAAATTTTGTTTTAATTGTAAAGAAATATGGCATGAAGGATTAACATGTTCACAATATCAAGAATGGAAACGAATGAATTGTGAAGCTGATAAAAGATTTTTATCATGGGCACAAAAAAATACAAGAAAATGTCCAAAATGTAATGCAACAATAGAAAAAAATCGAGGATGTAATCATATGACATGTGCTAATTGTGGGTATCAGTTTTGTTGGTTATGTATGCAAGAATATACTTCTTCTCATTTTAAAAATGGAAAATGTAAACAATATTCATAAAAAAATTCCTTTTTATTCATTTTCTTCTTTTTTCTTTATATTTATTTATTATTTTTAATCCAAATAATCTAAATCATTTGGAATACCAAGTCCTTTATTTAATTCTTCAATTGGAACTGATACTCTTTCTTTTGCATATGTTTGAATCATAAAAATTCCATCTGTCCATCTATTAGCTGCTTCTTTACTTTTTTGAACTTGTTCTTTTAATTTTTTAATCATATCTGGATCATTTTCTTTATAAATTTCTAATTCTTTCATTATTTCTTCTTTTCTTTCTCTTAATCTTTCTACTTCTTGTTCTTTCATTTCTCTTCCTTCATCTCCTCCTCGTTCTCTTTTTAATTTCTCATTCTCTTCTTTAACTTCTTCAATTCTTTTGCAATTCTCTCTTATTTCTTGTTCTAGTCTTTCATTCTCAACTTTCTTATTAACAAATTCTTCACTTGGAAACCCCCAAAAATATACTGACGTTCCTATCTTTTCTGAATGAACAATCCCATCATCAACAAGTTCTTTTAATACTTCTTCTACAGTTTTACTAACAATCCCTTTTTCTTTTGGTGCGATTTTTTCTAATTCTTTTATTAAGTATACTTCTCTTGTTTCATTAAATAGTGCTTTCAGTCGTTGTCGTTTCTCTTCTTTTGACAGTGGTTTATTTCTTGACATTTTTTCTTTCTTATTCTTGAGTTTTTGTTTCTTTTTTCTTTTATTATCTTTGAACCAATGACAAAAATTATAATCATTTCTCAATTTCTTTTGCTATTGAAACTAGTTCTTCCAAAAATTCTTCTGCTTCTTCTATTGTAAACTCTATAACTTTTCCCTGTTTCTCCTTTTTCCCTTGAATATGTAGCTGTAATTTCGTCTCTTCAATGTTTGCCATTTTGTCACTTCCTAATGTCACTGAAACTCTCCAGTTAATGTCTTCACACTCAATTCTTTCTATTTCCATTTGTTATTTTCCAGTTATTTCCTTTTTCTTTTCATGTTTGTTAGTATTTTTCTTATTTTAACTTTTCTACCTTTTGTACTTTCATTTTTGTCTTTGTTCTTGTGCTTTCTGTTTGTGTCAATCTACTTAATTTGCTCAAACATCATTAACTGTAGTTCTAAATGAATCATTATTTGTGTTTTGACTTAACCATGAATCAACACCATCATTATTCAAATAAATATAGCACTGATAAAAGAATAGTCAGTCTTGTATTAGATTTGTAGCAAGAAAACAAGTGAAAATTATACATATTGTCTTTATTCGATATTATGGATAATGAATAATCATGTAATCTTCATGAAGGGTAGAGAGTGAGAAAAAAACAAGACATAAGTTGTGTATCTTACGGAAGAGAAAGAAAATGAAATAAGAGACGAATATTAAGAATCAAATAAGAATGGAAGAAAAAGAACAATTTCTACGCAGAGTCATTGAATTAGTTCATAAGAAAGATGGGACAAAATGTATTGACTATGACCCTAAAGAAAAAGCAATCCGAGTCATTAAACCACAAGAACTTAAAGAATGTTTTGAATGGGATATTAATTGTCAAAACATAAAAACATTTTGGAAAAGAATGAAAAGATATGGATTTAAGAAGAGAAGAATAGGAGGGATTGATTATTTTATTAATGAAATGTTTGACCCGAATGACTTGAAGTATTTAGATGATAAGAGACAAATCAATGAATTAAAAGAAATCAATAAAGAAAAAACAAAAGAAGGATATGAAACAATAAGAAAAGATAATGAATGTCAGAATCAACAGATATTTGATGAAAGAAAAAATAATGTTTCACCAATTATGAAAACCAACCCAACACTAGAATCTAATGAAAATGAACAAGAAATCAAACAACAAGTTTATAATGAAATAGTTAAGAAAATCAAACAAATATTTACAAAAGAACAAAATGAAACCGATAAACAAAAATCAGATGAAATAATACTTCATGAAAAAGAATATTTGACTATAAGAATTAATCAAATAAATGAAAGAATGAATATAATAGATAAAAAAATTCATTATATAATGAATTGTATGGCAACATCAGAAATAGAAATGTTAAATATTTGTCATCTTGTTGATGAAATAACACAAAACCATAGATTTGGATAAGACTATTTAATGTCTATCAACCAAAACAAATTAATACAACTGCAATTATTTCTTCTTTTTATTACTTTTTAATTTAATTATTGTCATTTTCTCTTTTCTTAATTGAATTTTTAATTTCATTCATAATTTTATCAGCTGCATTATTTTCTTCTTCTTTTTCTTCTGTTGTTTTTGTATATTGTTTTTTTGTTGTTACTACTTCAATTATTTCTGAGCTATCAACAAGACAATTTTGAACTTCTTCTTCTTGCACTTTAGGTCCTATCCATGTAACGATTGTTGCAACTACTTGTGTTATTGTTTCCATTGGATTTTGAATAAATTGAATTGGAAAACTAAGTGTATCTATGACTTTTTCTCCACATCCTAATTCCATAAATTCAATAACATACTCTACTATCTTTGGTATTAAATAGTCTGATTCTCCTCTAATCACATAGTCTGCATAATTATCAAATCGTGTTGTTGTTTTATTAATATATGCCACTGTTGCTGAATTCATTTTTGCTTTTCTTGGTAATGCATTTGCTGGCATTACTTCTAATGAACTTCCAATCTATGTCTTAAGTTTTTTATTCTCATCCTTGAATTTATAAACAAACCACTAAAAATACATCCGATGAACTTGCAACTTCAAATGCTTTTTCAAACTTTTCTTTTTCTAATTGTTCTCCAAATAATACTACATCTAATTTAATCAATCCTCCACATTTTGGACATCTTGGAATATCAATCCATGGAATAAGTCCTTTTGGAAGTACTACATCTGCATTCCCTTGATACCCACATTTAATACATTGACATATCTTTCCTGTTCCATGAAGTTCAATTACTTTTCTACTTCCTGCTAGTTGATGTAAATTATCGACATTTTGTGTAATTATTTCTTCCAATTTACCTATTTCTTCTAATTTTCTTAATGCAAAATGTGCTTTTGTTGGTTTCTTTCCTTCCGTGCAGTTTCTTAGTTCATTGCACATTTTCCAAAACATTTCTGGTTTATTAACAAAATTCTCATAACTTGCATACACCTTAGGTTCATATCTCTTCCACATTCCATTTCTTGACCTAAAATCTGGGATTCCTGCTGAAACTGATATTCCTGCTCCTGTTAATACAACAAGACGTTTTGATCGTGAGATAATTCGTGCTAATGACTTGCATGAAAATTCAATTTCTTCTTCACTCATTTCTGACAAAAATTCCTCCATCTCCTTTTTTTCTGTTTTTTTTCTTGTTTTTCATTTTTTTTTTATTTTCTTATTTTCTTTGCATTTATTTTGAATTACTAAATCAATAAACTTTACAATTATTCATAGAGTTTTTTATTCTTGAAAATTATTCTTTGAACCCCTGCTGTTACTCCTTCATATTCTATCAAAACACCAATGACTTCTCTTTTAAATCTTGGATTCATTCTAATATATTTAAGCATGTGAATAACAAGACGTGTTACAAAAGGGTCATTTGTTATTGACACCATTGCATCAATTCTCTGCCATAACACCATGACAATAAAGTGATAATGTGGGGATTCTGACATAATTCTTGTTAATTCGGATTCACTTAATATGTCTCTTCTTGCTGTAATATTATTATATTTGTCTAGTGGTAAATTCATTTGTTCTCTAATAAGTACAGTAAATATCACAGAATATTCAGGAAATAAAGGCATAAATGGGTTAATAAAGAATGGGTGTTGATAATATATTTTGTGAAGTTTATTCATTATGTTCATTATATCTTTACCATTTAGTCTATCTTCTTTAATTCTTATATTTGTTAAATATAGTTCATTCACTATTTGATAGAATTTTGTTGGGTTATAACATAACAACCATACAATTACAACAAGTTCTTTTTCTCCATATTCTTTCATTTTGATTGTTTTATAAAATTCTTCACTTGTTAGTTGTGTAACTTCTTCCCATAGTGTATGGAATTGTATCATTATTTTCATTTCATCTAAACACTCTATTTCTTGGTCATTATTAGATTTCATTTCAATATTATATGGGTCTACACTTATTTCTTTATTAAGTTTTATGTCTGATGGAATTATGATATCTATGGAAGAGTATTTGAAATCCAATAATGATGGAAACAACCTCGAATATTTGTAGATATTTTCTATATCACCAACGTTATAAATTTTTGTAAGAATACTATTATGTGCTTTTATTGGGATATAATCTAACTTATTAAGAAATGTCGTTAATAGTTGTTGTGGTAATTTGTGAAGAGTTGTTTCAAAAAATCGTACAAAGTCTGAAAATAATGAAATACAGTGATTCTGTTTTATATCATACACTGATAAGAGAATTTTCATTGTTTTTATAAATATGTCTTTTTCTTTGAAACACATTTCAATGTCTTTACTAATTCGATTTAATACTTTTGAACATCTTTTAATTCCTACTTTATGACTTGTATTTGTTATATTTTTGATATTTGGATTAATCATTATTGATAATGAATTGTTAATTATTTTAAGAATTATTTGTGTGTCATTTTGAAAATTATATTTCATTTCATCAAATGTGGTTGTTGAATAATATTCGTATAATGCCAATTTAAATCTCTTATTATGTTTGTTTAACAAATAAAGAAGTGGAGATGATAATGGGTGATATAATAAAGGTAGTATTAAATAGTACGTCAGAAATTGATAATCACTTTCTTTTAGTTTATTACTCTTTTCAAATAATGGATATAATAAACATCTTCCTTCTTTGAATATAACATTCCCAATTATATTAAAAATACTATCAACACAATATAATTTCGATATTTCTTTCATAATGTTTTGATACTTTAAATTAATTATACGAAACAGGAGTTTTGAAATGAATGTTTTGATAAATTCTTCCATTTCTTCTTTCACTTCTTTATTTTCTTTATTTTCTTTCTTTAAATGTGTTTTACAACTTCTTGTTTCTCCTTTGTAATACATTCCACATTGACACATCACTATTTTATTAACTTCTTTTGTTACATGGTTTCTATGGTATGAAAAGTCAAAACATCGACAGCAATATTTAACTTTCCCTTCTGAACATGTTAAACAAGTGTAATACTTTTCAACAACACTTAAACAATATTGTGAATGGGATGTTTCAACTATGTCTTTATATTTCAGTGTTGGGTCAAAGACTTGGAGAATGGAATCAATTGGTTCACCATTAAAAAGTAAGTCTAAATAAACATGAATGTTTTTTATTGATGGAATTTTCATTTTTGTTTTTTAGTTGATGTCATTGTAATTTTAACATCTAATTCATCAACCACATTTTATTGTTGGATTGTGTGGTTGTGTGTTTTCTCTTTTTATATTATATGACTTGGTTTATTGCTTGACAGATTGCACTGATTTTCCTTTGTTGAATTGGTTAAAAACATCAATGACTATTCAACGATGTTCAAAAAAGAACAAATTAATAAAGAAGATAGATTAGAAATAATGACATATGAGACAGAAGGTAAAATATAATTTTGACATATTCATGTTGGGATTGAAACAACTCTTTTATTGCGTTTATTAAAAACAGTGGATTAATGAATAATATTATCAACAGTCAAATTGAATTTGAAAAAAAAAATAAATGTCAATATTAACCATAAATGTTATGACTTTAATTGAATAAGTTGAAAGAATAAGATAATAAATATAATGACTAATAGTCAGAACGTTACATCAATTCAAATTTATTCAATGAGTTGTTCATATATGAATTGTTGAAATGGTTTAGATGTTAATTAAGTGATGAAAATAGTTTGTTTTGAATGATATAACAGAGAGTTATTTCTTCACCATAACGCTCACATAAGATTAGAAAACGTTTATTGACTGTATTAAATTCAATAGTTATAAAATGATGAAACAAATACAAAACATATATATTTAATAACACTATATAATGAAATTTATAATAGGAATATGACTAAAACACTCTGTTATTTTGCTCAATAGATGAAACAAACCAATAGACAGTTAAAATGTAATTATGTTAATATGTATATGAATATTTCTATTTGTAAATAACCAACGAAAAAGACAATTAAATTACATAAAAAGAATAAAAAAAAATAAAAAATACCAATAACATTGTTTGTAGTTTGTGTTTTCTGAAGTAAATTGAGAGATGTTTAATTCAAAAACATTAAATAAAAAATAGATATAATTAGTTAATTAAGTGTTAATAGAATATTCATCTATTCTTCCTTGCTCAGTAAAGACTAATCCAATTACTGAGTTGTTTTTTAAAAAAGAATAATCTTTTTTGTTTACTCTATTCTTTGGGTTTGTCTATGAGCGTAAGAAAAGCACTTCTTTGCTTTATTTCTTCCTATTAAAATGTCTTTAAACTTCTTTCAGTTTATTTCTTCTTTTTATTTTCTTCTTTGATTTTTGCTTTAATTTTAATAAATTTTATTTTCTCTTTTTTTCCTTTATTTTATGAAAGAGAGAAGAAAGCATTTGATTACCACTATAGTATTATGAATAATTCCTTTTAGTCTTAATCACACTTTAGCAAATCCTTTTCCTTTGATAATATATACTTCTTAATCCTTCTTAATTTCTTTATTAATAAATACCAAACCTTAATTAAAAAAAATAGATATAAAAAAGAATAGAAAAGTTTTTGATAAGAAAGAAGAAATAAATAGGATAAACGAAAAAGGTTTAACAAAGAATAATTAAAATCTTCTTCAAAAAAATGTTGAAATAGATTAGTAGATAATGAATTGCTCCGTATTAACCATTTGCTTATTTATCATCATCGTTAGTGGATCATATAATATGTCAATTATTCTTCTCTCTCATCCAAAAAGAAGACCAGAACTAACAAGATCAATAAGAGATTTAGTCGAAGCACTGAAAGATGTTCCAAAAGGATTGAATATTAAAGAAATTGTGATGGTTAAAGGATGTGTGAAAGGATGTAACTTTAAAGAAATGGATGATGCCATCGAGAAGATAAAAAAAGAACTTCCATATATTCCTGTTAAAATACCAACATATAACTATAAATCTATTGATGGTGTTAATGAGGAGGAATGGGTTCAAGACTCATTGTCTGCAGTTTGGGCAGATACAACTAAACGTGAATGGGAACCAACAACTTACAAAAAACATATGACAGTTAACTTCTTTTTCATAGAGGAATTAAAAAAAGTTTACAATGATAAAAGTACGGATTATGTATTATTAGCAGAAGATGACCAATTATATGAGAAAGATACATTTAAACATATTCTCAAACTCATCCAAACAAGACCAGACAACCAATGTTATGCTAAAATAGCATGGTGTCCTTATAGGTGGTGTTCTCATTATGGACAAAAAAGGTTTACTGCTAACACATCAAAAGACTTTGCATGGGGAGCATGGGGAAATTTAAGGTCAAAAGAAGAATTAGGATTATTCTTGAGGTGGTTAAAATTCACGAGATTCTTTGAATCAGAAGATACATTAGGCTCATTCCTTTGTCAGGCACTTAAAAGAAATATTGAAGTTGATAATGTTTCATATCATTTTGGACATGACAAGACAATTCCAAATTGATGGTATTATTTTAATTTAAATAAAATGAATTTATCATTTCATTGTTTTTATTATAATATAAACATTTTTTTTAGATAAAAATAAAATGTTTATTGAATTTTAATTAAGAAAGTATAATTAAATGTTAAAATTTTATTATAATTAATGAATTGTATTGGAATTAAATTTTTACTACATTGTTTCTAATTAATTTAGATAGACTCATAACCTTTGTTAAAATATTATATGAAATAATAGGATTTTATTCCTTTTATTTTCATTATAATTTAAGTAAATTTATGAGTCATTTGAAACTCGAAGTATTTTTACTAAAAATAAAAGAAGTTATTCAAAAAGCAAAGAAATAAAATAGAATAAAATTTAATAAATGACAGTATTTTTCTTTTTATTGTTTTGATATTTTATTTTTAGAAAAAATAAATAAATTGATAAATAAATTTAAATGTTATTTTCTTTATTCATAAAAATAATATAACTTCCTCTATTAAAAAATTTCCACTTTATATCATTATTTTTCTTTCTTTAATAAATTTCTTACATAATTATTTTGGAGTTTATTTATTAATATAATTTATATTTTAATATTCTTTCATCAGACACTAAATAATAGTGAAAATTCAGAATATTTTGATGGTTATGTAATTGAGGCATAAAAAACACTCTTCACCTCTATGTTAGGATACTATGAATATAAAATGAATTTTATTTTTATATATTATACTTATTTCTTGGTATTTTACATATTCATTGTAGTTTGCCTCTTTTTTACATATTTGAATGACATTATTCAATAAAAAATTGTAATATGGTATCGTGTTTTCTTTATTGAAAAAGAATTGTTTTAAATTTTCAGAGTTATGGTAATTAATTCTAATTAAGTCGAATTGAATTATTGACACTTCCTTTGTAACAATTTGAAAGATTAAAAGAAACAATTAAGATATAATGTGGTGCTTATTTGAATTAAAATCTATTTGTCACACAGAGTAGAATTAAAATGGAAGTATAAGTTATATTTTCAATATATATATTCAGTCTGATATTGTTCAGTTTTGAAAACACACTAAATAATGTTGAATTAATCCATTTCTAATATTTATTATTACCAAAATACTAAAATATTAATTAAATGAAGTTACAACATTTGATTCATTTAAATAATGAAATAGATAAAAAAGAATTAACAAATTAGTTAAATATTTTTATATTTGTGAAAATCTTTATATCTTAAAGTAATGTTTATTTTGATTATTAGTCTATAAAATAAAAAATAATATATAAAATAGAACAACATCATGAAACATCTTTACTTTAATGAAGTTATACTAAATTATTAAAGGATATATTAAGTGGATTGTTTACAAGAGTTAGACTCACAAATAAATGTATCAAATTCTGTGATAATTAAAACAATCTTATTTAAAATCAAAAAGGAAGAAAAGATGATGTACTAAACAAAAGATAACAAAAAAAATGATTAGAAAAATATCTTTAATTCAAAGAATTAGAAACTGTTATAGACATAGGAGCTTGTCAAGGAAGAAATAAATATATTCAACTTTATTGCTTCTTTTTCTTCTTGTCTTTTTTCTAATAAGTTTTCTTTAAGAAAGATGTTCTGTATTGAATATATTAGAAAGAAATAATAAACTAGATTTCAAATTGAACAAAATTGTGGTTAAGATTATTCATTTGATCTTTTAGTTGACAAACAGTATTATTTGAATGACCACATTGTTCTAATAATTTAATAATTTCTAAATTTTTCTGTTTAACTTCTTGGTATTTATGATAGAGAATTTCATATTGTTCCTTTTCAAAAACAAAATCTTCTTTAAATCTTTTCTTTGACTTTCTTACTGTTTCTTTATTTCTGATTCTCTTATCAATTTTTTTAATTAAAAGAATTTCTTGTTGTGATAATGGCATTTCTCTTTTCTTAACTTCTTTCAAATAACACCTAAACTCTATTTTTGACATTTTTGTGAGGATTTTCTCAGGTAATAATCTGGTGTAATCCACATCAATAATCTTTTGGTCAGATAATCGATAGATCTTATAATTAAATGCAGATGCAATCTTGGTCATTTGATAGTGTTGAGATGATTGTTAGTCATTAGATCTTTTCTCTTTATTTTCTCTCCTGAAC